TAGATAGCCAGGCCTTTCTTCTGAGGTACTTTTAAGTGGACATCCAACCTTGCAGTTTGTAGCCAAGCATTTTAATCATCATACCGCCCAAAGTCTTCAGCATGCAGATACTAATAGCTAATTCTGAAATCAGCTATAAGGTAAGCATTACTTAATAATAATTGTAATTTGGAAAGGAAATTAGCTGCTACATGGCCACCACTAACCCACTGCCCTCTATAGCAGTCAGTTCGGTGTCATAGTAACCCTGTAGGGCAGAGGAGAATTACCCCATAGGGTTTTTGAGACTATAAAATTTTATGGGAATAGATAACTACATCTTTCTCCTATAGAGATGCTGGAGGGCTTGAACCATTAGCCTTGCAGTTTTCAGGCCAATGCTTAATCCAATGTGCCACCAGGCCCCTTGGGTTATATAGCCACAGTTGGTCAGTACACAACTGTGTGGCCCTATCTCACTCTTGCATTGACTATGGCACATTAAGGGGGCATTATGAAACCTGGTCAGTCTGCACAGTATGCTTTTGAGTTTACAGTCAATAAATGCTGTTGTTTGTACATTTCTTTCTGGCTACTCATTGTACAATCAAATTATAAAGCTACATTTCTGTGTCAATAAACCATCTATAGCTTAAAATCTTTCAATTCAATGTAAAGAGAAATCTATGTATTCTGTCTTAAGATAAAGTATTAGGAAAATACATCTCTTTCCTAATTATTTCAATAGCTAATGGCATGGCACAGTAGGAGAAACAGGACTGCTAACTGCAAGGTTCGGCAGTTCAAACCCAGCAGCCTCGCCTTGGAAACCCTATACAGGGTCACTATGACAAAGCTGACTCAATGTTACTTAACAACAATATGTTTAAGTATCACCTCCAAATATTTCACTCACCCCATGCAAAATATAAAGACTACTACTTGCCACCTGATTTAGGAGGAAGTAATGTAAAACTCGCTAGAAAAAAGGCATGTATGAATGCAAAGTATCCATTTAAGCAAACTAAGACTCACATGGCACTTGTAAATGCTATCACTAAATTAATGGAAACGTGGGATACTGAGAAGAAAGACTGTTCATGCATCCTTACTTCCTATCTAAAAGATGAACTAACTTATTCCAAGAACTTAATATAGAAAGGTTTTTCAAAAAAACTAATATGCTCTTTTTAAAAACAAAAGCAAAAAAACACAACATGAGAAAGTAATTCAAGAGCTACCCTTCAACATCAAATTGCACAAGAGCTTCAAGTAACCAAAACAAGGGGGAGTAAAAGAATTCCTGCAATCTCACCCCATGAATAATCTGATTGGTTAGGATTTACACAGAAATGCCTGGTCCATGAAACTTCTAAATGCATCTTGCAAGTTGTCATTACTGTTAGTTGCCATCAAGTTGATAATGGCTCATGACAACCCCATGTGTGCACAGTAGATTGTTCCATACTTTCCCAAGTCTGATCTTTTGAAAGCAGATCACCAAACTTGTCTCTCAAGGCACCTCTAGGTGAGTTTGAACCACCAACCTTTTGTCTAATAGTGGAGAGATCAACTGTTTGTGCCAGCCAGGGACTGTTTTGTCCATTATACTGGAGACGACTACTGCTAAGATTTATTAACACCTACCTGTCTGGTACTGTTTCTTTCCTCATTTCTCAATACTATGCAGTTGGGGCTATTTGTATCCCCTCAGGAATGAGGAAACTGAGGTTAGGTAAACAGGACAGAATGCCATTTTCTGATGACTGAAATTCTCTCATCACTTCGTTATAATTTTTTGAACTTTAACAATTATTGTTGTCTCAGGGTGGTGAAGGCAGGAGTCAGATTAGTTTTGAATCTGGGTCATAGGCTGGAATTTGGAATACATTTCTGGCATTAGAATGCTTTATTGTCCTTTATCTCCAAGTCTTACAAGTGGAGAGGGAGTGGCAAAGCAGGAATGCCAGATAATCCACCATCTATTTTCATTCTCTTTTACTATCCAGTAGCTGCCCATGTGGCTGCACTTGTGTGAAAACCAGATTCCTGGCCAAACAGTAAAGGTGATACTATCATATCCTCATTATTACCTAGCAGTCTCACAAAATTCTCTGCCTTCTAAAAGCATTGTCATTCCTATTGGTTGAGCACCCCACCCACAGTAATTCTGGACTGTTCAATGGTCATTGAACTGAACATACCTAACGCATGCAAAATTAGCTGTGTTTTGTTATAGGAATTTTATCTTTTCATACTCTTGGTAGTGGCAAAAATGACCTTCATTTTAAGATTCTTCCTTCTTCTTCTTGATTATTAGACCTTTACTTAAATTTCCTTTAAAGAGGCAATGCCTGTTGAGATATTCAGCTTCCTGCCACTGGTGTTTAACACTTTTACACACATCTAGCTTTAGATCTCCTTTGGGTATAAAGTCTCATAACAATTTCTTAAAATATGTATGTATATATGTAAAACAGCCAAGTAAAGACCATACTCTACTATATAAGTGGAAATTAAACATAAAACATTGAAAGAGCAAAAAAGACTTCAAGCTTGGTTCGTTTGCACCGATGAAAACCTAGCTGTAGAAAAATTCAGTGTTATCATTGTCAATGTGCATAACATATTTTAAAACTCCAACAGTACAACAACTCTCTTAGTAAGTGGCTTTATTGATGAAACTGAACATAACAATGTATAACATTAATTGACTTCCCACTGAAAGACCTTCCAGTGAAACTGTTCAATAGAACGGAGATCCAGGAATAACGCATTTTAAGTGATGTCCTGCATTTTGAAAGAACTGGCAGTGGTGGCAGGAACCAGAAGTCTTTCCCATACTTCCATCTGGGACTCAACATCACACTGCTGAGCAGAAGAAACAGCTCAGAGATGCAATAGCTCCACAAATAAGAAAAAAAAAAAAAAAAGCCAAGAACAGTGTCAGACAGGCGCCCCAGAGCCTGATGGTTGGAAATAGTGAACAGTTCACCTTCCCCGTGTACAATATGCTCTGGATCTAAAACAAGCCTCAACAGCAAACTAAGAACGACAGCCTCTTTCCTGTGGTTTATTACATTTTGGCCTCATAGATAAAACTGCCAGGAAAGCAGCTGCAGTTTAAGTGGTCTGGACATTTACTCATCTGAACATAAACAAAGACCAGCTAATTTAGATCTCTAGGTCCCTCTTCAGCTGTTCGAACTGCTACAGGCGTGGTTCAATCCAGGCCAGATGCAAAAGGAGTGAACTGGGGTTGAAGAACCCTTGGACTGTGATGGTTTTCCTGAGTCGTCCGGACCTCAGGGACTTAAATACCGTAAACAAAAGGCTCACTGTTGGCCTTAGCACCAGTGTAGTGGCTTCGCCTACTCTCCCCGTCCATGAAAACACAGGTTTAGGAAACAAACCACACTGTACCCTCATGCAAAATGACTCATGTAAACCAAACCACTGCATTGAGTGTCAACCATGTATTTTGTAAATATCAGGGGAAGAAACTATTCCAGCCAGGTGAAAACAACTGAGTAAATATAGGAGCCTAACCTGAAGCTCCGAACAAAACGATTTAAAAGGAATACTGCCATTATTAACTAAGAGATAAAATCATATAAAACACTGGGCTGTGGAGGGACTAACAAAATATGTAATTATTTCACAGTGAGATCTAAGTACTCATAGAATCTTCTGGTCTTAGTAGAAAGAGACATTCAATGATGTACTATTTTCACATTTTTTTCCAATAATTTTTTTCCCTCTCCTATTTCATATACGACTACTAGAATAAGACATTAATGTGGTCAAACATTACACTTTTGAATGACAATTCACCTCTTTGCTCCCCTTGCAATTTGCTCCTATAAAGATTCAGAGTTTCAGGAACCTTTTTTTAAGGAGAGGGTCTATTTTATCCCATAGGGTGGCTATGAGTCAGAATCGACTCGATGACAGTCCATATAATTAGGAAATTGTGTTGGTTGATTAACTGTGTGTCGCAACAAGAAAAAGACACCGTCTACCATGTGTCACTGATAAAAACATCATAGTGCCACATGACACCTTACATCTATTCCAATCTAGACACAATGTACAAGATGTAGGACATGAACTGGACTTGTGTCCCCCATAGGGCCGATCAGCTACATACACATTACATTCCTTATCAAGTCTGGCAGTTCTATGTACAGGTTTTAAAAATAATAATAATTAGAAAAAAAATTTTTTTAAACACAGGAGCAACCCTGCAGAGAGTCCTTCAGGAAGGCTACTCCTGAGAATGTAATCTTGGTTATTCCAAAATCAGCAAACCACCTTCTTATAAGAATGTTAAAAGGAAATTAATTGAATGGCTCCACTAAAATAGTTCTTGAGTTTATTGGTCAGTTTACTAAATGCCAGAGTTCTTCACATTATTGAAAGAAAAGTAGTGTCTCTTACGATTTAAACATTAAGGGATCCTGACGGCTCTATCAGTCACCATTAATGAGTTCCTTAGTGAGAGTGTTAAACTTTACCACCTGTTTACAACCCTTCTTGGCGGAGACACCAAACCAGTGGCATCCGTTGCCAAGCCTTCTTGGTAATGGTTACAAATTCTCTTTTCCTTAAATAGAAACAAAATTGTGTGACATTGAGCAAAGAAAAAGCATGCTCCCAAATCTCTTTCTGGCTATGTTGGGAGTCTAATCCAAGGGCTTACTGCATTACAATGCCACAGTTGTGCCCAAACCGCCAGGTGAAGAAGGTCTCCCACCGCTGCACCCCACCATTTGTCCCTGCTCTTGGCCTTGACCATCAAGCACCATTCATTTACTTCATCAGGGGACACTAGGTATTGGGGGTGTTGTCAACATTGGCTCTCTGTCCTCTTTGGCCTTCCCCTTGGCAACTGCATAAAAGGGGGAAAGGCAAAAGTCTAATAAATTGGGAGCTTTCCCTGAGGTGAGTTGCGGGGCCCCGCGGGATGGTGGCGCCTCAAAGCCAATGAGATGGTCTCCACACCCCTGAAAGCCCTGGACCTAGTCTGCAAATCGCTGCAGAAGATGGTCCTCTCTCCTCAAGCTGCCACCGGCGCCACCGCCTGCGCTGTCCATGAAGCGATCGCAGGGGAACTCGATGAGATCAGCCTCGCTGAGCGCACACACGGTGGTGCGCGGTCGATGCGACTGGAATCCCGCGAAGTCGGCTGACACACCCGTGCCCATGGAGCGCAGGGGCCGTCGGGTGGAGTACATGTGGCGAACGTGCACCGGAGCCCCGCCCTTCCGCCGGGCCCGCAGCTTCCTCCGCAGCCAGCGCGACGCCCAGGCCATCAAGGCCAGGAGCACCAGCAGCGCGTTGACCACCAGTAAGACCAAGGTCAGCAGCTGGTAGTCGACGCTGCCTCGGCCCCCTGGTTCCGGCAAGGTAACTAGCCCGGCGCAGTGGTCACGAGGAGCCACGGGGCAGACCCGGCCACCGAGCACGCCCTCCACACACACGAGGTAGGGCGTGTCTCCGCGCAGCTCGCGCAGCGTGGCTGAGTCGCTACGCTCGGGCAGGTAGACGAAGCGGTGGAACTTGGGCTGTTGGCCAAAGCGGTCGAAGAGCAAGCGGAAGCGCGCGCCGCCCAGCGGCCGGGGACTGCGGTGTTCGCGCACTGCCCAGCGCACGGAGGCACTGTTGGCGCCCACTGCCTCCACTGTTAGGTTGCACAGGATGAACTTGTTGAAGTCGCATGGGTCGGACACTAGTGGTGGCAGGCCCACCCTACCGTAGGACTGGGCGGCGCGCTCCAGCTGATCCGGGGCTAGGCTCTGCTTTGCCGCGCGCTGCCAAGAGTCGCCGGTCAGAGAAGGAGCCGAGCCAGAGATCACCGTCGGGGTGGGCTCCGCCAGTCTGGGGTCGCCACTGGTCAGACGTCCCTGCTCGTGCTTCTCGGGCACTTCCAGCAGGTGTGACGCGGGGCCAGCGGCCGCGGCAGCGGTGGGACCTGGCTGCTGGAGGCCCGGGCCCCGCCGGCTCAGCCTCAGTACACTGCGGTTGCTAATGAGCTCCTTGACGGTCCCATCCCAGGCTACCCCAGAAAGAAATCGCCCCCGCTGCTGCGACTGCGGCTGGGGCGGCAACTCCTCTGCAAGACTGCCTGCAGAGGGCACCATCTCCTCCTTCGCTGCTGTGGGTGGGGGCCACCGCCTACTATCCGCTGTCGGGGCAGCAGAGGGCGAGAGATCAGCGCAAGACCCGTTCTGCAGCTGCTGGTCATCCAGGTAATCCAGGTACTTGCCCCGAAGGGCCGGGGGGTGGCGACACTGTACGAAGACGGTGAGGAGCCGGCCCTGCGAGTGCCAGTTTCCCATCCAGTGCTTTAGACCCCTCAGCCTGCAGTCGCAAGTCCAGCCGTTGCCGTCTAGATCCAGCCGGTAGAGGGCTGGACTGGCCGCGAATATGTCCCCAGAGAGGGCGCTGAGTGCGTTGTCCCGCAGGCTGAGCTCGCGTAGGCGGCCGAGTTGGCCAAAGGTAGTGGGGTGCAGTGCCGACAGCTCGTTGCCGCTTAGGTCCAGCGCCTCCAGGCTCTGCAGCGGCTCCAGCAGTGCCACAGGCAGCTGATTTAGCCTGTTGCCCTCCAGGCGCAGCTCGCGCAGGGCCTCCAAACCCCAGAAGGTCTCCGGGGCGAGGTGTGAGAGCTGGTTACCCCTGAGAGAGAGCAGGCCGAGGCGCGGAAGGTGCTGGAAGACTCGCGGTCCAAGGTGCTGCAGGCTGTTGTCAGAAAGGATGAGAGTGGAGAGAGAGCGCAGCGGTGCGAAGGTGGCTGCGTGGCGAAGGGAGGGCTGTAGCTCATTGGCAGAGAGGTTGAGGAAGCGTAGCTTGCCCAGATGTGTGAAGGCGTTCTTGCCAAGAAAACGGATTCTGTTGGACTCCAAATGTAGGTAGAGCAGGTTACCCAGAGGTGCGAAGACGGCATCCGGCAGTGAGCCCAGGGCGTTCCCATCGAGACGCAGCTTGACCAGACTTTCCAGGCCCTCGAAGGAACCGCGACTTAAGCGACCTATCTCGTTCCCGTTTGCGTAGAGGATGCGCAGCTTGCGCAGCGGGGCCAGTGTGCCTGGGGCGAGCGCCTGCAAGAGGTTGTTCCCCAGATAGAGTTCTTCCAACCGCGAGAGCTTCTCGAAGGTCTTGGGATGTAGAGAGCGGATCTGGTTGTACTGCAGGTCCAACCGTCGGAGTTGCCCCAGGCGGTGGAAGTCGAAGGCCGTGATGTTAGTTATGAAGTTGCCGCCCAAACTGTAGGTGAGCACCTCCTGGGGGCTAGGCAGCGAGCTGGTCTTCGGCACGGCGCGGAGCCCCCTGTTGGTGCACAGGAGGTGCTGAGGGTGCTGGCAATCGCAGCGCTCGGGGCACACGGGCTCGGCCAGCGGCGGGAGCGCAAGGCAGCAGCACACCACGAACAGGAAGCGCACGGCGCGAGCAGCCTCCATCGCCGCCCGCTCTGCGTGCTGCTGCCGGATCGTCCTCTTGGCCCGCCGGCTCTGTGTCCCCTCTGCATTCCCCTAGGCCTAGCCAAAGTCGCTAAATGGCTTCTTTCGGATTCCGCTGCTCTGTCCAGCCCCTCCTCCGCCCTTTGTCCGGTAGCTGGACCAGGTCTTTGCAAGAGAGATTCGCCTGGCTAACTCAGGCTGCGCTGGACGCTAGGCGAGCTCTGGGTGCTACTTGTTGCATTTCTGCTGAGAACAGTTTCTTCGGGTGCGCGTCGGGGGTGGGGGAGGGAGCAAGACCTCGCGGTTTTTGTTTGCAGCGGAGGCCGGAGAGCTGGATTCCCTGGCGCGGATTTCCCTCACCGAGTGGATTCCCCAGCTGCGGGCGGGAGCCTTTCCAAGAGCTCCTCCGGGCGCGGCGTAGCTGCTGCGCCCCGGGCGCTCGGCCCCCGCAGCTGGCGCCTTCTCGCCTTGGTTCCCGGACACCGAGCCCAGCCTCCGAGGACCAGCCTGGGGAAGAGCCAGGGGGCGCACAGTTTGGTCCGGAAGGAGCCAAACTCGGCGAGTGGCGAGAAAACCGGGCGGAAATTCGTTCTTCCCACACTCAGTCCCCCCCCCCCCTCCCCCGGGGTTGGTGGTGGTAATGCAGGCGGAGAAAGAGGATACGTCCGAGGGAGGACAGACTCCGGCAGGGGGAGGAGGAAACTCTTAAGTGGCTGCGCGTCTGGTCAGCCTGAGCCGGGAACGCCAAGTGAGAAAAGAAGGGATTAAAAACAGCTGTACCGGTCGGACTCGCAGGGCTGGGGGCGGGAGTGGATTACCGGACAAGCAAACGGGATTTGCAGACAGAGACCTTTTTATTTTAGAAGAGTACACCCGCGAGTTGGGAGCGGTGGGCGCACGTCTAGCGTGATTGTTTTTAAGTCCCTGACTCTTGCACTGAGCCCGACTGCAATCTACTGGAAGTTTTAAAGAGCACAAGGTTGTCTGCAGAGACCTGTTGGCTATTCTCAGTGTTAGACCCATTCTGTGGCCTGTTAGGGATTTTGACCTCTGTGCCTAAGTAGCCCAGGAAGGGCACCACCCCCTTTTAGGTACCTGAATTTCAGTATTGCTGGGTCCTGCTGTAGGCAGAGCTCAGAACTGGTTCTTCCACCGTCAGTGTCTCTGTCAAATGTGGATGATTCAGTCCCATAAATACAAAGACCTTACCAGCCCTCGGGGCAGATTCCTCATGTGTTCATATGTATTAATAACTTTTGCAGATCTGTGTAACTGCTCACTGCCATGCCCTTTTGCTTTATAAACCTGCGCTTGCAGTACCCCACAAATCTTCAATCTGGCTTAATTGGAGAAGTACTACTACGTTTTGTTATCATTTGGGATTGGAACATTTAATGACTTCTCTGGGTCAGCCTCTGCTGAGGGTGAAAATGGACAAGGAATCGGTATGATTATTTACTATGAGTTTATGCAAACAACTTCAGAATAATTGCCCCTTCATCCCCCTCCTCCAAAATGTTCAGAAAATATTATCTTAAAGGAACCCTGGTGGTGCTTTGAGTTAGGCATTGGGCTGCTAACCACAAGGTCAGTGCTTCAAACCCACCAGCTGCTGTGTTGGAGAAAGATGGGACAGTCTGCTCCCAGAAATGCTCAGGCACAGTTCTCCTCTGTCCTATGCAGGGTTGCTATGAGCTGGAATGGATTTCACAGCAGTGGGCGTATACTCTGGCCCATAGACTGGTGATCTGCTTTTAAAAGGCTACAGCCTTGAAAACCCCAATAAAGTCGTTCTCTGTAATATGTGGGGTCACCATGAGTCCTAATGAACTCTTACAGGTATTAACAATAACAACAGTTTTGTGCAACTGAGGCCTCTGGGTGGTGTAAACCCAGCCAGCGGTTCCAGGGAAGAAAGAGCAGGTGATTTGTTTCCATAGAGACTGGAGGCGTTCTGCTCAGTGGCACATGGGATCATCATGAGTAAGAATCTACGCAGAGCAGCAGGTTTATTCTGTACGACAGTGTGGACGAGAAGTTGGCAATCTAGTGGAAAGAGTAAGGCATTGACAGTTTAGAGAATAATACAAGGGACTTCAAAAAATTCATGGAAAAATTCCATTATCTTTTAATTCTACTCTTCCATGAAATTTTGAAGACCTTGTATATGGCAGTGGTGTGAGAAAGACGCAAAGGTGGTGTATGAACTATGGTTTGATAGTGACTAATTGCCTGTTTTCATAATTAATATAGGCAAGCAATAGAGACAAGTTCTGAATTGCAACCCCCCACACACACACACACACAATGTATCAGCTTGGCTGGAACTTGGTTCTAAGTGTTTTGGCAGTTATGTGATGATGTAATATGGCAGTTATATAATGAATCCCTCATGGTATGTTCTAATGTGATAAACCAATTAGAGGTGTAAGGGTTAATCCCACAGCTCTGATCCAATGCAAGGGAAGTTTCCTTGGGGTGTGGCCTGCAACACCTTTTATCTTACAAGAGACTAAAGGAAGCTGATGTCAGAGGCACCCTACTACCACAGAGAAAGAAGAGCCTGGAATCCCTACTCTGTGAAGCTCCTAGATCGAGGGGCAGATTGATGCCAAGACACGTGGAGACCTCCAAGGAATGTTCAGCCTACAGATGCTGAAAGGAGACAAAGATCTTTCCCCAGAGCTGACAGAAAAAAGGAAAGCCTTGTCTCTAGAACCAGCACTCTGAATTTGGACGTCGAGCCTCAGGGTGTTAAAGCCATCCATCCACTTGTGGGATGGCCGTTACAGCAGTGCTAGAAACTGAGGCAGCAGTGTTAGAAACTGAGGCAGCAGCGTATGAGCAGGGAAATTGATGGGTGAGCAGGGATCTCCATTCTGCTGAGGTATTGAACAAAAGGTAGATAAGTAGGTAATGAAATGTTCATCCAAGGCATAGTAAGATTTGCTTCAGATTGTGAATAAAAGATGAATTGAGACAACCAAGTGTCTATCTTAACAAGATGCAATATGAAGTTATCCAGGGAGTGTGGTAGTTTGGTTTTCGTTCTTATTGTGAGAAATTTCCAAAACTCCCTCCCTGTATGAATATGTGGTTACCTTATAAGTGAAACACAATCCCATACAGTGTGCATAAGTTACCAGCTTTCTTGATCTGACCAGTACCGTGTTTAGAAGGACCTTTCGCCCTTTTGGACAATGCCCATTGTGACATGGAGGTTCACCTGATTTTTCCAAAGGAAATTCTAGGACTTTCAGACTGGACTATTGGATGTTCTGTGGCCAGAGCTGTACCAACATCTGCTTGTAGCCTTCTACAGAAACCATTACCTGCAGCCTTCAGGCACACAAATAGCCTTATGAGCGGAGAAGGGTATGATTTGGAAGAGAAAAACACAGGAGCGGCATGTTTCCATTTGAATAAGCCATGTTCTCCCGACTCTTTGCAGAAATCATGCCAAGTCAGCAAGGGTAGCAGGTAGGGTACCCATAGAGGGCCACTTCTAGGTTGACCAGTCACTCATTCTATCTGGTGTGTTTCGCTGTTCCTCTTTCCTCTTGATCCATTTTATAAGAAGAAAGTATATACACTTGGATTTATAAAAAATATAATTTCTTCTGGTAGAATAGATAAAGATGAAAGAACAGGCCTGTTTCCAGTATCTGAGCGGTTCAGGATTAATGCATGAATGGAGGTCCTAGAAACAGTTTGGGTTATTACATTACCAGAAGTGGTGGTGCTGGGGAATCCCAGTGTTATCAATAGAGACTCCAGCTCACACCTCAAGTCTCTTTACACATAGCCACGCCCCTTGGTCTTCCCTCAGGCCTAGGGGTATACTACACACTGTGGTATGATTGCCTAGGATGATAGATGGGGGAAAGGTTCACACAGGTTTAAGCAATTGTCAAGGAATTCCAGGGTCCCCTTGGATTCCTGAAATTCTGCCTCTTTGAAGACGTGCACAGTCTGAGGAAGACCCATCCAAAGAGCAGGGTATGAGCCCACATTGCTTAAGACCAAGGCTGGTACAGTGTTCATAGCTCCTATGCATATATTCCACTACTGGTCTGTATGTTTGTTGTACTGTGGTGGCTTACATGTTGCTGTGATACTGGAAACTATGTTTGTTTCAAATACCAGCAGGGTCACCTAGGGTAGACATGTTTCAGTGGAGCTTCCATACTAAGACAGACTAGGGACTAAGTCTAGATATCTAGAAATCAGCCAATAAAAACCCTATGAATCATAGTGAATAATTTTATCATGACTAATTGCGGCTGTCACAATTGTAAAAGTAGAAGTTTTGTAACAAAAACACCGGAGTAGTTAATCTTACAGTCCAGAACGGAGGACCCTAGGACCATCAAGGGAGAAGAGTACAAGCAGAATGCGGGACCTTATCCAGAGAAGCAGCAACACCAGAGATGGAGGCAGAGATGGGGACATGGAGAGGGGGAGTGGCTGAGGACTCTGGATTCATAGGAAGAGAGGGACTAAGAAATGGTGACCAGGAAGCAGACTTGCAGAAGGTGTCCTTTGGTTGTATAAATTATTATACATGCCTGAGTGTTTAAAAAAAAAGAGAGAGAGCTACTAAAGTGAATAGAGAGAAATACTGTTAATTGATGGTACATGGAGGGGACTATAATCATTTTGTTGAATGTAAAACGGATGCTCAGCCCTGTAAACTTTCACTCAAGCCACAATAAAAACCTTAAAAAAAAAATCAAACCTATGAATCTAGTTGAAGGGGACACCATGGTCAATTGAAATAACGTGGTCCACAACTACATCCTGCTTTGGTGAGTGGCATCTAGGATCTTAAAAGCTCATGTGTAACTGTCGGCCTCTCCAGGTATGGAAGAAAGAAGGACAATTAAGAATTGAAGATACGAGCAGAAGTGCCTTCTCTTCCGGCCTCTTTGGTCTCGTTGGCAGAAGCAAGATGATGAAGGGAATGTCATCGTTTGGAAAGCATCGCAATAAGATGCACATGTTGTGCTGCCACTGCTGCGGCTGGAAGGCCTACCATCTTCAGAAGTCGACCTGTTGCAAATGTGGCTACCCAGCCAAGCGCAAGAGAAAGTCTAACTGGAGTGCCAAGGCTAAAAGACAAATACCACTGGTACTGGTTGAATGCGACACCTTAAAATTGTATACTGTTAATAAATTAGTCCAGTGGACTAATGGAACACATT